GCGGGGGGATGAGCAATAGTCGGTCTTTCATAGTTCCTGGTCTGTGACTGACTCCAAGAAATCAGTAAGATTTCATAACTATTGTGTAATGGATGTTCCAAAACCCAAATTGTGCTTGTACATGTGCAGAAGATACAATGTGAAGAGTTTTTTTGCAGCAGATGGGCACTTAAAATCTCCAACAGAGGTCGATATTTAGTTTGGGATGACCAGCTGTCTAAAGAATATGTATAAAGCTTTATTTTGAACACTTCACTACTAAGATCACACTGCACAAAATGCGTTTATGGATAAATTTGTACTAAATTGGGGTAAATAATCCAAATCTGCCCTACATATCAGACCAAAAACATCGTTGGAGCGTATCGGTCATCAGTCGCTCTTGATTTTTAACAATCGTATCTGCACTGGTCATGAAAAAACCCGTATCCGCCGATCTCTGGTCACGTCCCATTTAGAAAATAAACACTGGCAAGAAAACATTCAAAATATTATTGGCTAGAGCTGCATGCGTCGCAAAAATATTTATATTATTTTACTAGCTGAAGCAGTAACCAGTAAAAGAAGAAAATAAACAAATTACACAAAGTTAAATCGACAAAATGTGCCAAAAAGTGTATTATTGTGATACAAAAGTAGTACCTATAGTTTTCAAATCTTGCACTCTTGAAAATCTGTATAGGTTGCCGTGCATTTTCCTGCGTTTAGGCCATCAGAATAGGCACATACACGTTCTGTCTGAGCTGTGGTTGTAGGGAATAGTTGAGGGGTGAATAATGGGCAGATTATGCAAGACTTGGCACGGGATACACAATGGATTAGATCAAATTACAGTTGGAGGTAAGGCGAGTTTACCCAGGAGCACTTTTACGGATCTGACAATGAGACAATCCATACGTAAAGATTCAGATTTTCTATGGTCAACAGATCCAGAAAGCCAACGGGAAATATTTGGGTGGGTGACGAGAACAATGCAAGTCTCAAAAAATGTTTGGGGGAGTTTACCTCTCTCGGAAGGACAAATGTGAGTGCACTTTTGTGGGGAAGATGGCCAATGTGGTCTCAAGCAGAAAGCACTCAGAAAATGTTCCATTTCACCAAAAAATATACATGTTCATAAATTCACCGTAGTGTTGTGGCAGAAAAAATACATCGAAAAATACGGTAAATATGTATTTTTTTTACTATAAGGCACACTTAAAATCCTTTTAATTTTCTCAAAAGTCGACAGTGCGCCTTATAATCCGATACACCTTTTGTATTAATTCTGGTGGTGCTTACTGACCTCGAACAGATTTTATGTGGTACACGGCGCTCAAATATTTGTCCAAACGTTTTAGTACAACTTTGGTAAACTACGAAGCCGTACTGCTTGATGGATTGTCGGAGCATTACGGCTACTGTAGTCAGGAGGCTCGCGGAGTAAGTGAGTTGTGTCCTTTTGTCCGACGGAAGCTGAACCGCATCAGCGCACAAGGAGCGAGCAGTTTTTTTTCCGTGCTTATTGTTTATTCAAATTAACCATGCGGTTTTAACTTTCGTTTCTGTAAAATGTAAACAAATGTGCGCAAAGCTACATTAAACACATTATTACTCCCCACCCACACACACACACACACACACACACACACACACACACACAAACACAGGAAAGACCTCCCTCCAGGCAAGTACAAAACTCCTACAGGTCAGATATCAAAGGTAACTTCACTTTACACTGAAGTTAACCATTAGATTTACTTCAATAACCTAAGTCTCCTTTACATTAAAGTGCTTAACGTAAACTAAACACTGAAACATCTAAGTCAAATATACAAAACCCGTAAAACAAAACAAACTCAAACCAATTCTCATCAACACTCCTCATGGTCTGGCCCAAAAATAAATATATTTAAAGTAACTTGAGCTTGTCGTGATTAACTTAAAGGAACTAAACAAAGACTAAATAAAACAAACCCAGGATAGTTAAGAGAAATTAACAAATATGAAATTAATTTAAGGTGATTATACAGGGACTAGGACTGTGTATCGTTAAGAAGTTTCCAATACGATACAGACTTCGATACACAGGCCATGATAAAATACATATCTCAATAGAATGTACTTTCGATCAAATACGATATATTTAAAAGCGATTCGATACAGTTCAATAAAAAATAAAGGCTAAATCATGGCTGTGGTACTAAACATCTTTGTTGAACCACTTCTTGTGCAACATTAATATAAAAAAATTCCCAATTTACTCATCAAAACAGTGAAAATGTCAAATGTGTCACATAAACGAGTTTCCTTCCTCTAAATAAGAAACAAAACTGTAGCGCGGTAACAATAATTTTGTAAAATACACAAAAACAAACACTCTTGACGATATATCGATACAACAGCCCATGATATCGAAACTGTATCATCACATTAAACAATACGATATACTGATATTTTGATATTTTTGCACACCTCTAACAGGGACAAATGCTCTCTTTGTCATAACATTTTTATTCAATTTTATTTTTGTCTTAAATTCTCAATTAAAACCACACAACCTGATCATTGACCATTAGAAAACCCTGAATTTCACAGTCCTTTTTGATATGCAATGATTCTGGAGAATGTCTGCGTGTTTCTCGCAGCACTAAACTAGAATTTTTACTTGATCATATCTGTGCATCCTCAAATTATCAGATAGAACTTAGTTGACGTCTCAGCGGAAAAATCACTCGTCATAGCTCCTCTTACGATAAGGCTAAATAAGATAAATAAAAACAACAATAAGTAAATAGCATTTTCTATCCAAATGTTCTCGAGGTTCTTTGTCTGCTCCATCAGATCAGTGTCATTTAAGATAGATTGGGTCCAGAGGTGCATGGCGGCCTGCCCCGAGCCACGCCACACCCTCCTGCTCCAGCCCGCATGACCTCATCCAGAGGCAAATCAATAAGTGCCCCCTCCCTCCCTTTCTCCCTCCCTCCCTTTCTCCCTCCCTCTATCCCTCTCTCCCTGCCTTCCCTGACCAGATGGGATTACGTAAGGCCGTGTCCAGTGTCGGTTTGCACAAGGAGCTGCTGGACCTTCTCACCATATTTAGGAAAAAAAAAAACAGCCCAAGTCTCTAGGACTCGTGAGTTAGCAGCAAAGAAGTATTAATGTGGTAACTAGGACGCTGAATTTGCACGTGGGCAAAAAGGAAGGTCTTGTTTTCGCGATTGGGAGCGTGACTGAACTGATTCTGTTGCGATTCAGAACAGGTTTAACCTACAGAAGTGGCGGTTTTAGTAAAAAGGAGGTTATTTTTTTTGTTCGCAGAAATTGTGGTACTTAAAGGTTGCATGGAGGATTTTTTTTTTTGTCTCAAATTGTCAATGAAAGTTCAAAATTGTGTTATAAAAATGCAGCAGCCTTGTAATTATTATAAAAAAAGATGAATAAATAAATATAAAAATAAATATGATTAAAAAATAAATCAATAAATAAATAAAAAAAGAGAGAGAGAATGAAAATCCATCAACTGCACAGCAAAAAGTGAAGTGTTAAAATCTGCTCTAAGAATCAATTTTAACATTTTCTCAGCGTTTATAGGAGTCCAATCTGTTCAAGAGTTAATTTAACATTTTTGGAAATGTTAATTAAGTGACACTGGACCAAAATTCCTGTTTAACCCCAAAATCAAGAGTTATATTAACGTTTTGAGAGTAAACAGATAACACTTTGTATGGTTATCTTGATTTAACTAAACTACTCACAGAGGTGTTTTATTTTTACAGTTTATTTTACTTAATTTAACATTTTGGAGAGTAGTAACTACACACCGTAAAGTGTAAATTAAGGTACACTGTAAAAAAAAACAACAACACACACATTCAGTGTTTGTAAAGCCTTTATTTTCTTTAAAACATTGTAAAAGATGAAATTATGTTCAAAACTGGTTCAAACTGGTCTTCTCTCTTGGGAGTTTGAAGTGGTGGGTGGAAGTTGCCAAATTAACTTCAACCATATCAACTCTGGAACTCGACTTGAACCCCCCATTTAACTTTCAAATACTCATAGTAACTCTTTGTGTGTTAAAAACAACTCTGAAATATTTTACCCAGAAGTTTTAGCCGTCCAGTTTTTGTGTGTGTAGACGTGATGGGGCTAAACATTAACCAGTAGATAACGAGGCTTCTTCTTTTATTAACTAGCATGCTAACGGGTCACCAACGTTACTTCTTAATTTGTGGACGATAAAAGCACGTTATAATTACAAACAGACAGCACACAGTGTCTCATTTGGAGCTGCTTTTACAAAATATCACTTTACTGATATCACTCATTACATCAGTACATGAAAAGAAAAGAGGTATTGTCCCTTTAAGATGTGTCCGTCTTTACACGATCATGTAGACCAGACATGTCAAACTCAAGCCCGGGGGCCAAATTTGGGCCGTGATACAATTATATCTGGCCCATGAGATCACATCAAATCTGTATTAGAGCTGCCCCACGGCTACAGATGGACTATAGAGACATAATTTATTTAAAATGTTGTTATTATTTTATATTCTGCTTGTTCTGGATTCAATGTTTAAGCAAAACTATGAAACATTTATTTTGATAAGAAATGGTTTAACATTACATATCTCGAACAAAGAGAAAACTTTTTCAAATTTTTCAATAAATATTTTGTTTGGTCCATGACTTAGTCCCAGTTTTTAATTTTGGCCCAATTTGAGTTTGACACCCCTGATGTAAAATATCCAAGAAAATGCATTTTATTTTTTACATCAAGTTGAAACTGGATTTGTGAACGTAACTCCATTTTAACTTCAGTTTTTGTCAGCTCATCTCTAATTAGCGATGCCCTGAAACTCATTATTGGTAGAAGTCGGCGCTACAACATGCAGCCACATCTGTTATGTAATTAGAATAATTTGACTTTTGTCTCGGCTCTGTTTTGACATGTGTTTTGACTTGTGTTTTGACATGTGTCTTGACGTGATGTTTGTTTGTTTTTTTTGTGCGCTCAGGTACGGACATCTCGGTGGGAGAGGAGGTGGCCATCAAGTTGGAATGTGTGAAGACAAAGCACCCCCAGCTCCACATAGAGAGCAAGATCTACAAGATGATGCAGGGCGGAGGTACGCGGCACAGGGAGAACACTACACGCACAAAATACTCCCTTAAGTAGCACTTTAAACAACACGATTGGACCGGAGGGGGTGGGGACTTCAGATGGAGTCACTGCGGGAGTTTAGAGGTAGCGTGCGGTGGACTGCAGGCTCGCTTTGCTCATGGGCACGTGTGCTGGAGTCTGTTAAAGCTAGCAGAGGATAGCAAGCCTCTGCACGTAGCCTCTGAACATGTAACTACAGCTTTGCTTTGTGGAGGAATAAAAAGGGATCATCAGGTCTAATCTCTAACCAGAAAAATGCACAACTGCCACACAAATGCATCACTCACTTCGGCTACGTTCTGAAGTGACCCCAATCTGATTTTTTCGCCCCTATGTTCATGTATCTGTATTTTAATGTCAGTCTGAACAACACATATCAGATTTTTTTCGAATTTGACCCAGGCCACTTGGATATGTGCTCCTAGAACCGATACATATCCGATCTTTTGACACGCGACTTCAGTCTGAACAGTCAAGGCGCATTCATCCACCTACACGTCATCAGCAAATGTGCACAAACGTTCTTCTCATCAGACAAAAATTGTGTCTGAACTCCGTGTCAGTGAAGCACATCACAGTCTCATCACTCTTGGCCGCGACTCTGGTCCCACACGTTCCTCTCTGTCGCAATAACCGCAAAAATGAATCACCGCGATACTAAGAGACCCACAGTGATCACCGCGCGAGACCAACGTGACCCGACCGAGTCCTGCACGGGTCCATTTTTAGAGACCTGCACCCGCCCGGACCCGTTAACGTTCCACCCGTTACCACCCGTGACTGTGATAACCCAGGACTAACGCAGGACTAACGCAGGACTAACGCAGGACTAACGCAGGACTAACGCAGGACTAACGCAGGACTAAGGTGTGCCCGCGAAGACCGCCGTAGCAGCTCCGCACCGCAGGGAGGTAAACGCAGCAGTCACCCGATTGCGCTTTACAGACGCGTGCTCGTGCTAGGGGCTCTCTCTCTTAAGTACGCGGGTCCCTGACCTGGCGCAGGACCCTGACCCCGACCTGGCGCAGGACCCTGACCCCGACCTGGCGCAGGACCCTGACCCCGACCTGGCGCAGGACCCTGACCCCGACCTGGCGCAGGACCCTGACCCCGACCTGGCGCAGGACCCTGACCCCGACCTGGCGCAGGACCCTGACCCGACCTGGCGCAGGACTCTGACCCGACCTGACGCAGGACTCTGACCCGACCTGACGCAGGACTCTGACCTGAGCTGCCACAGTGAGACCTGGAGAGATGCAGCGACACTTGCTCCAAAACCAAATGTTACTTCTCCCACACGACACACGATATATCCACACGACAACCAAAGTACATGTGCATCTGCGAAACAAGCGCATCATCGGAGAGAGTTTTCAGAGACGCTGGAAATATTATAAGTCCGGGAGATGAGGGGTGGAGGAGGGAGTGGGATATCCCCGCATACCACGGTGTTGAGCCGCTATACCACACCGCAGGAGACATTCCCTAAATGCGACAGCCTTATTTCTATGGACGTTGCTGCCGCCGCCCCATAAAACACTATGGCCAAAAACCTCGTCCTTCTCCTTCTTAATCTCCTCCTTAAAACAAATAAACTGTTCATGTTCTGGCTCTGGTAAAACAGCAGCTTTAAAATCTCCAGGTGTGTCCACGTTTAGGCGATTTCCGTAAACACTGAGCACACTCGCTGCGTGTGACAATGTTAATGTTCAGGCCGAAGATCACAAACAAGTCGCGTTTAACTGGAAATGTGAACGACCTCACACAAAAAATATCAGATTTCACAAAAAAATCCGAATTGAGCGTTAAGCCCTGCAGTCTGAACGTAGCCTTAGACACTTTTAATGCCACACTGCAGAACATTCCAGGCGAAGTTTTAGGCTGGAGGTGAGGCTGGAGGTGTGTGTGGGTGTGTGTGCGTGAGGCAGATTCCTGTTGTCCTTTGTTCTTCCACACACAAATATTGACTGATGTGTTTTGCATATTATCAGCCCGAGCTCGTGTTTACAGTCTCCTTAATCAAACAGTGATCATGTGTCGTACTCTGGGTTTGAGTCCACTCTCTGGCCTCCACGGGGTTCCTACAGTCATGGGAATCCTGGAAAAGTCATGGAAATTAAAAAAATGTCTTGGAGATTTGTAAATTCAATGAAAGTTTTAGGAAAGTCATGGAATTTTAGTGTCTCTTTCACACAACTACGGCGTTCTGTTAAGTTCTCATGAGGCTATTATGGTTATTTCCGAACGTATGCACCTTTTTATTTAAAAGAGATGACAATAAAAGCACTGATAGTATTTTGAATGTTAAAAAACTATAATACCAAATAGAAATGTAACGATATCCAAGTCTCACGATAAGATATCATCACGGTATGAACCTCGCTGTACGATATTTATTGTGATATTTTGTGGAGCCTAACAAAACTGTTAATATGCTACTTTTTCCTCTTAAAATGCCTTGATAACACTTAATCCAAAGAACTAAGACTTAAAAGTGTTATTTATTACTTATTTTTATTTTTTTCTTGTAGTCTGCACTGAAATGGAGCAAAGGATCATGGTCTATGTAGTTCCTCTGTTTTTTTTGTTTTTCTTTAGCTTTTACTGCGCCATAACTCTTAATTTAAGCAAAGAGACTTGTAATTCGATATATTTTGTGATATTGTCCACTAGGGGTGTGCAAAAATATCATAATATCGATATATCGTATCGTTTAATGTAATGATACAGTATCGATATCGCGGGCTACTGTATCGATATATCACCAAGAGTATTTTTACATGGTTTACTAAATTATTTTGTGACAGAGCTACAGTTTTGTTGCTTGTGGAGTGAAAGGAAGCTCATTTATGCGACACATTTGACATTTTGACACCGTTTTGGGGATTCAAATGTTTGTGTTTCATATGAACTTTGCACAAGAAGAAGTGGTTTAACAAAGACTTTTAGTATCACAGCCATGATTTAACCTTTATTTTTTACTGAACTGTATCGAATCAATTTGAAATACATCATATCGAATCGAAAGTGCACTGTATCGAGATATGTATCGTATCGTGGCTCATGTATCGAGGTATGTATCGTATCGGCAACTTCTTAATGATACCCAGCCCTATTGTCCACGATATTATTGCGAGAACTTTGACGATACGATATCATGATATTTCTGTTATTGTTACACCCCTAATCCCAAACCATAAGGTGAGTGAAAAGAGGTAACATTTCATATTTAGCTCTAAAAGTCTGATCAATTCTACAGATGTAGGTGCCGTAAAGTCACGGAGAATTCACTTTATGTCAGGAAAAATCATGGAAAAGTTTTAAAATTTTGTCAATGAGAAAAAGATTGGGAACCCTGAAATACTGACTGTTGTATTTTGCATATTATCAGCCCGAGCTCGTGTTTACAGTCGCGTTAATCAAACCGTGATCGTGTGTCAGACCCTGGGCTCGTGTCCACTCTCTGGCCTCCTCCTCGCGAGTGCCTTCTGCTCCGTGCCTTGTGGATGGTGACAAATACCTGCTCAATTAAAGCTGCGTGAGTGAGTGACAGCAGGAGTGCGCAGTATGTGCTCGGCTCACACTGCTGCTGCTGCTGAACACCGGCTCAATCTGCGCTCTGTCACACATCCTGCTGACAACTACAGCTGGACGTGTTCAGTTCCTTAATCGATTAAAGTTTCGCAAACCATCTGAGGCCAGGGACTCCCCATCAGTCTCCACAATATAATTCAGAACTTTAAACCTTGTTTTTTAATCACATTTGGGTGAAAGGTGCTCCATCAAAGACTGTATGTTTGGAGTTGTAAGTAAAAGCTGTAATAAAATGGTACGTACAATTTTTGGGGGGGTTCAGCCATAGCACATGCCCCAGGGACTCATTTTAATTAATGATTATTTTATTGATAATTAAAGCTACGTAGTATTGTGAGAAAAAAAATCTAAAGTTGATTTGCAATATGTTTAAAAAGTGTGATTCTGAGTTTTTTCTATTTCTAATGCAAACACATGAAAAACAGAACTAGTTTTGCAGTGGTCTAAACTTATTCCTCACTAAAATCCTAATTATTCACCACAATGAGTTTATAAACGCCTTTCACAAAGCCAGAGCACACTCATTTTAATTAATGATTATTTTATTGATATTTAAAGCGACACAGTGTTGTGAAGAAAAAATCAAAAGTTGACTTGCAATATATGTTAAAGTATGATTCTGAGTTTTTTATGTACAGTCACAGTGAGTTTATGAGCGCCTTTCTATTTCTAATGCAAAGACGCTGTACATTTGTACAGTCTAAAAACACGAAAAACAGAACTAGTTTTGCAGTGGTCTAAATTTATTCCTCACTAAAATCCTAATTATTCACCACAATGAGTTTATAAATGCCTCTCACAAAGCCAGAGTGCACTCATTTTAATGAATGATTATTTTATTGATATTTAAAGCTACGCAGTATTGTTGAGAAAGAAATCGAAAGTTGATTTGCAATAGATGTTTAAAAGTATGATTCTGAGTTTATAAGTGCCTTTCACAAAGCCAGAGGGCACTAAATCACTCATTTTAATTACTGATTATTTTATTGATATTTAAAGATATTCAGTATTGTGAAGAAAAAATCAAAAGTTGACTTGCGATATATGTTAAAAAAAAAAGTATGATTCAGAGTTTTTTTTCTGTTTCTCATGCAAAAGCGCTGTGTATTTTTACAGTCTAAAAAACATGAAAAACAGAACTTGTCTAAACTTACTCCTAACTTTCCGCCACACTCTTAAATCCTAATTTAAAAACACGAAAAACAGAACTAGTTTTGCAGTGGTCTAAATTTATTCCTCACTAAAATCCTAATTATTCACCACAATTGGTTTTCAAGCACCTTTCACAAAGCCAGAGTGCACTCATTTTAATGAATGAATATTTTATTGATATTTAAAGCTACACAGTATTGTTGAGAAAAATCCTTGATTTGTAGCATATGTAGTTTTTCAAATTCTGAACTGATGCAAGACACCCATATATTTCAGAACATGTTTGTAGGTTTACAGGGCAGCCGTGTGGTCTTAAAAAGTTCTTAAATTTCATGTTCCTAAATGAAGGCCTTAAAAAGTCTTAAATTATGTTGTCCAAGTCTTATTTTTTTCACAAAGGTCTTAAATTTCATTAGCCTATTTTTTTGTAAACTCAACTGGGCTGCAGTGCGACGTTAAACGGAGGGAGGAAAAAAACAACAACAACAACATGAACATGAATAAATGTCTAATTTGGAGTGTCTTGCAAACAATTCTTTGGTTTCTGGCGCTGGTGGCAAAGAGTAAACAATCAGTAGAGGAGGACGTTGGGTAGATTATGGGGAAGTGAAGGTTTAGTACCAGTAGTTGGTTCATCATCATTAGAATTGGATCTGGTGTTTTTTGCCCGCATAATGGGTGCGATGTTGGTGTTAATTTTCATTCAAGTGGTCTTAAAAAGGTCTTTAAAAAGTCTTAAATTTGGGGTAGTCAAACCTGGGGATATCCTGGTATAAAATAATTACTGCAGCCTTTGTGATTTGATAACTGCGGCAACCCAACACTTGATTTTGATTGTGATTTTGATTGTGATCCGGTGGTCAGCTCCATTAGATTTTAATTTACACAGACCACAAATCAACCACAGTCAACCAAGACTTTCTTTAGACTCAGCAGTTGCCGGTGGGGCTTTGGTCAAGTCGACTAAACAAACCCCGGCAGTGTCAGGAGGCGCTTTGTAAATAGTAGTTTTTGGCCGTGCGTCCCTTCGTATATATAAATAGTGCAAATGCTGAGCGGGCGGTTTGTGTCTGTAGAAGGACACAGCAGATGGTCCCGGAGTCCTGCCTCGGCCAATCCCAGTCCAGGCCCGGGCCGGGGGGGCGTGTCCGTCTGCTGTAACAGCCTGCTGCGGGGACATGTGTCCACCGCTCAGGCTAATCACACACGTCTACATCCAGCTCATTATACAATCGATATTAGACTGAGCCACTCTGAGCACGCACAATACACAGATGCTGCAGCCTTTTATAGAAACGAGACACTGGCCACGTTTACATGATGGTTTTTAATTCTGAATTAATTGTTCTGAATTAAAATATTCTGCTTCGAGTTTACATGGAAATAATCAGTCTGAATTGAGGTTTACATGGAAAACACGTTAAATCGTCTTTATTTAATTCCGCTCAACGTCTGGGGGTGGGGAAGAGTTCTGATTGGACAGAGACACAAACATATGTACGTCGACCTGAAGAAGACACACAATTCAGATGCTACCGGCTTTTTCATCATTTCGGTTTGTCGTTACGCCACAGACACAAACACGATCCAAACTTTTTTTCGCAGTGGTTCCGATGATAATTGCGCAGCAGCTGGAGAATTCTCTTTACGTCTGTCAGCTGAGGAGGAGAAGGGAAGAGTGTCGGAGAAGGGAGGAGGAAGACAAACTGAGTCTGAGGCTGCTCTACCTCAGCCCACTCCCGCATCCCGCTCACAAATCCAAAGAGACGTGAAATTTTTTAAAAGAAGAATAAACTTTTACATCAGACATGTTAAACTCAGGCCCTGGAAACAAATTTGGCCCGTGAGATCGTATCAAATATGTATTAGAGCTCTCCTGCCGGCTACAGATAGACTATAGAGACATTATTTATTTAAAATGTTGTTATTATTTTATATTCTACTTGTTCTGGATTCAATGTTTAAGCAAAACTATTATTAAACATTTATTTTAATAAGTAAAGGTTTAACATTACATATCTCAAAAGAAGAGGAAATATGAAGATGTTGTTGAAATTTTTCAATAAATATTTAGTTTGGCCCAGTTTTTAATTTTGTCCCTCTGTGGATTTGAGTTTGACACCCCTGGTTTACACGATCGAGGAGTAAATTCATTCGACTTTAAATCGCAATAAATAAACCACCCACTTACTTTGGAATTTTATTTAATTTCAGATAATTTTTTTATTAGGAATTAAGCGTTTACGTGGTCTTGGAATTAATTTTTGTTTAGAATTAAATTATTTTACTCAGAATTAAAGCTTTCATGTAAACGTGGCAACTAAAGCTCCTATTTTAGACAAAACTGACCCTTGCGAGCTTTAAACCGTGTCAAAAACAGACCTGGAGTTGTTTAGAGTAGTTTCATTCACACATGTTTGAGTAATTCCTGGTTTATTTGTCTGTCTACATCTCCAAAGCTCAAAAATGCTCTGCTCCACCTTGTGATGTCATGTAGTGGTAGTTTTCAAGCTCACAGATCACAAGATTTTCTGTTTGAGAGATGAACTCGGTCTAAATCTCCAGGCTTTGTGTTTTAACCGTGTGAATAAAACAAAATACAACTCCAGGTCTGTTTTTGTTTGGGAAAAACATAACATTGATTAAAAAACAAAAACAAAACATAGTACGGGCACTTTAAAATATCTTATACCTCATGCAACTAAGAATTATTTTTGTAGTTGACTAGACAGGAATTATTGTTTTAAGTAGACACATTTTCAAACGATTATTTTTATTGTGCATCAAGGCTTTTAAGATATTTTCCAAAGGATGTATGACTTTATTAAAAATCACATAATTTACTCTCTTCTCTTGGTGCACAGTGTCGGCGGAAGCTTGAGAAAGTTGTTAAATCTGCGTTTCAGTGTCACATATTTGGTTCTTTTCCAAGGAGCAGTGTTGTAAATGTGTCCGGGCCTGTGTGTCTGTCCTTTGCAGTGGGCATCCCGACGATAAAGTGGTGCGGAGCCGAGGGGGACTACAACGTGATGGTGATGGAGCTGCTGGGGCCCAGTCTGGAGGACCTGTTCAACTTCTGCTCCAGGAAGTTCAGCCTGAAGACCGTGCTGCTGCTCGCTGATCAGATGGTACGCCTCACTCACTGCACATGACACTCACCGTTGAGACTCTGCACTGACGTCACGCTGGGGGATTTCTACGTGCGTGCCAATCGTGGAATGTTCAGCTGCGTTTGTTACAGTGACACGATGCACAAATTTGGCAAACGGTGACAATGAGTTGGAAAATTGTTTCAAGAAAAAGTTTAAAAATTCAATTCAATATTGGTTTAATCCAGGGATCGGCAACCAATTTCCTGGAAAAGTCATGGAAATTAAAAATGTCTTTTCCCAGGCCTGGAAAAGTCATGGAGATTTGTAAATTCAATGAAAGTTTTAGAAAAGTCATGGAATTTTAGTATCTCTTTCACACAACTACAGCGTTTTGTTAAGTTCTCATTAAGATATTCTGATTATTTCTGAACGTCTGTGACTTTTTTTTTTTTTTAAAGAGATGACAATAAATGCACTGACAGGATTTTGAATGTTAAAAAAACTATAAAACCAAATAGGGGTGTAACGATATCCAGGTCTTACGATACGATATCATCACGGTATGAACCTCACTGGAAAATATTTATTGGGATATTTTGTGGAGGCAAACAAAACTGTTAATACTCCTCTTTAATTTCCTCTTAAAATGCCTCGACAAGACTTAATCCAAAGAACTGAAACTTAAAAGTGTCAGAACTGTTATTTCTTCTTGTCGTCTGCACTGAAATGGAGCAAAGGATCATGGTCGATGTAGTTCCCTCTGTCTTTTTTTTTTAGCTATTGCTGCACCATAACTCTTAATTTAAGCAAAGAGACGTGTAAATCGATATATTGTGATGGTCCACGATATTATTGTGAGAAATTTGACGATACAATATCACGATATTTTGGTTATTGTTACATCCCTAATCCCAAACCATAAGGTGAGTGGAACATACACAAATTTGGCAAAAAATGACAAAAGAGTTGGAAAAAGTTTCAAGAAAAAGTAAAAAATTCTATTCAATATTGGTTTAATCCAGGGATCGGCAACCTTAAATACTCAGAGACATTTGGACCATCTCCCACAGAAAATCTAAAAAAGTAAGCAGTGTTATCATTTATTATTTATTTATCTTTTTTTAAATTTTGTTTTGTTTTACTTGTGTGCTCTGTATAAAAGACTATATTGTGTTGCATTTATAAAGTCAATTTAATGCTACAGAGAACACGGAACTTTATTTCTGCATGAAACAAAAACATTTTAATTCTGGAAAAAAAAAAAAAGACTTGGTTGACATTTAAATACTCAATGTTTATTTGAATCCTCGTAGGAAATAAAAATCCAAACTTAAATTATCCCCCTGCCGCGAACCAAAAATGCCTTCTGTGTTTTCCGTCAATATTTATCACGTGTGCTGGAGCGTGCGTGAATCTGCCCACGTAGCATTAAATGTTGTGTTTTCTTCATAAACTTTTCTTTTCTTGGATTTATGTCGTCATTTACCTACTGGGGCTCGAAAAGCTCAATAAATCACGCTGCTGGTGCTGGTGCCGGTGAGTCTGAGCTGCCAGATCTGTGCCGGGCGTCGCACATCGGCGCCCGTGACTTGTATTTTGAGCCACAAAAATATAAAAAATGTTTTACAAGATTACCGTTATCTACACGTTTAGAATTACATTTAAAAACAAACAAACTAAAGTAAAAATACATTGCAATTAGTCATTTATTTATTTCCAAAATCACAGGGAGCCACAACAGAAGGATGAAAGAGCCACACGCGGGTTGCCGACCCCTGGTTTAATCAATACATTTTCAGGATCCTGATCAATATGAGTCACGGTCCTGTTGAAGTGTTTGAGTTTCAAAAAGGTGAGAGTGACTAACTAAAAAAAACTGTTTGCTGATTCTAGCCAGCTTGTGACAGTAATGTTATTTGAGAGGAACAAAATCAGCTGTTGTACTTCCAGCTCAGTCACTTCTTTATTTGATTAAGCAATGGTAGCATTTATATAACGCTTTTCAAGATCCACAACGCACTTTACAGTTTATTATTCATTCACTCAACACTCAGTGGAGGTAAGCTACAGTATTGGGTTAAAACAAAGCTCACATTAAAGTCTAACTTGAGTAACAGACCTTCAGACTAGTGATGGGCATGATTAGTCGATTAATCGATAATTGATCATTAAGAATTTCATCGATTATGTTCATTTTAATCGACAAACCGAATGTAGGATGCTGTGCGTAGCGTGACCAAACAGGGGTCTCTACATGTGTCTCTCTGCACTCAGAAGGAGCGAGACACAAACAGTCGGTCAGTCTGCAACGTACCGAAGTGCAAATATGTGCAAAAATGTGTGTATTTAACGATGACTTGTACAAGATATTCCACACTTTCCGTTGCGTTCGGGACAAGTGTGAGTCCACGTGCATAGTGTACAAAGCAGCACATATGTTTCGATGTCCAGTTGGAAAAATTTTTGCCAGGTGAGAGTCGCTCAGTGTCGATGACGAGTCCCCACCTCCCTCCCCCTGTACGGTGTCCTGGTTTTGACAAACGCAAATATGGTCACCCCAACCTATATTCCACTGAGTCGTATCACATCAGCTCACAAGAAGTTTTTTTTTTTTTCGCTTAGTTTATGCAAATTAGCCATGCGATTTTAAGTTTCGTTTCTGTAAGATTTCTGTAAGATTTGATCTGTAAGAAAGCTGCATTAAACACATTATAATGTAGAATGGGCTGATGTGGCTCTAGAGTCGTTACAGTTTATATGTCGTAAAGTTGAATTTATTTATGCAGATTAGTGCAGATAGTAATAATAATGATGATCATTTTGATATAAAAACATTAATGATTAATCGATAATCGATCGTTAATTCTTCCAACGATCGATTAAGAAAATGTAATCGAATGCCCATCCCTACTTCAGACAGAGCAGAGCCTTCAGTTAGACTCACACCCTTAGGGAAGGTTGTTGACAAAGTATCAGTTCATTAAACTCTGTGCTTTGTATCAGCGCAAACACGGCCGCTCACTGAATACGCCTGAATCCTGTTGTTGTGCGTCTGCAGATCAGCCGCATCGAGTACATCCACTCCAAGAACTTCATCCACAGAGACGTCAAGCCCGACAACTTCCTCATGGGCCTGGGCAAGAAGGGCAACCTGGTCTACATCATCGACTTCGGCCTGGCCAAGAAGTACCGAGACGCCCGCACGCACCAGCACATCCCCTACCGCGAGAACAAGAACCTGACGGGCACCGCGCGCTACGCCTCCATCAACACACATCTGGGCATCGGTAAGAGCTCAGGTTATGTGATCGGGAAACCTACAGATCTGAACCAGCCTCAGATGTCCTCACCAGTGTCACTGTGCGAATATTTCAAACTCTTATTTTGATACTAAGAAATTCACACGATACTGTTCTGATAAAGCTCTGTCAGAAAGCTCAGATTTTGTCCTGTTAATGTTATTTTGCAGTATCTATACTTGCCCAAAGGAGGATCTAGTTTGGATATTTGTTTTAGTATCAAATAGTGATTTTTGATACTTTTGACAACTCTCATGGCCTCCTTTGTATGAATCCGTGTGTCATTCATTCGTTTTTCAATATAAAACCAAAAATAAGAAAACGAAAAAAACAACAATTTTCTTCATTATTAACGTAAGAAAATATATTTCATTCTTTTCTTCATTATTAACATTTTAAATTAATAATGGTAAAAACGTGACTTAAACTGAGGTGCCGGACTTTTGTGCCACATATGGACTGAACCAACGAATCCATTTTCGGTCCTGGCTTAGTCCTGGTCTCAGTCCCAGACCTGGCTTAGTCCTGGTTCAGTCCTGGTTCAGTCCTGGTTTATTCCGTATGCAGCGGAAAAGTCCGGTATCGCAGTTTAAGTCACAGAAACGGGAAACGGTCATTATCCGTTTTTTCCATTATTCATTTAAACACAAAATGGAAAACTAAAAAAACAAATCAGTATCCATATTTTCATTTTGGTTTTGGAGACAAAAATAGTTGTTTATTCATTTTCTTATTTGGAGTTTTATACTGAAAAATGAATGATACACAGATTTGTTTGTCCTCACAAGTCTCCGTTTGTCCTCACAGAACAGTCACGGCGAGACGACCTGGAGTCTCTGGGCTACGTGCTCATGTACTTCAACCTGGGCTCTCTGCCCTGGCAGGGCCTCAAAGCTGCCACCAAAAGGCAGAAGTACGAACGCATCAGTGAGAAGAAGATGTCCACGCCCATCGAGGTCCTGTGTAAAGGATACCCCTGTACGTCTGCTCGATCTGTCGCTGTCATTCTTCTGCTCAGTGTAGTGTGTCAGTGTAGTGTGACTAAGCTCTTTACTGATGTGACTCTGCACTTCTGCTCCACAGCTGAGTTTGCCACGTACCTGAACTTCTGCCGCTCTCTGCGCTTTGACGATAAGCCAGACTACTCTTACCTCCGCCAGCTCTTCAGGAACCTCTTCCACAGACAGGGCTTCTCCTACGACTACGTCTTTGACTGGAACATGCTCAAGTTTGTAAGTGTCCTTCCCCCTGCAGAACTGTTCTCTGTGTGAGGAGAGGGTGGACTCTTCATGTGCTCTGTTCTGTGTGTGTGTGTGTACAGGGTGCTAACAGAGCAGTGGAGGACGCCGAGCGGGAGCGCAGGGAAAGAGAGGAGCGTCTCAGGCACAGCAGGAACCCCGGGGCCAGGGGCATGGCCTCAGCCTCAGGGAGAGCCAGAGGAGCGCAGGACGTGGCTGCTCCATCCCCCCTCAACCCAGCCTCTCACACAGGTACAACACAGACACACAACACGACACACAACACAGAGGAATCACACACTCACACCGTCTCTGTTCTGTGTGTGTGTGTAGGGATGGAGAAGGAGAGGAAAGTGAGCATGCGTCTGCACAGAGGAGCCCCCGTCAACATCTCCTCCTCAGACCTGACCGGACGCCAGGACACGTCCCGCATGTCCACCTCACAGGTACTGACCACAGCTCACTACTACACACAACCACGCAATCACACAACCACACAGGTACTGACCACAGTGTACACACAACCGCACAACCACCCAAGGCTCCTGTCAGTGCAACACACCACCTCACAGGTACTGACCGCAGCGCACTACTACACACAACCGCACAACCACACAGGGCTCATGTTGGTGTAACGCACAACCGCACAAGGCTCCTGTTAGTGCCACACACAACCACACAACCACACAGGGCTCTTCTTAGTGCCACACACAACCACACAACCACACAACCGCACAAGGCTCCTGTTAGTGCCACACACAACCACAAAACCGCACAACCACACAGGGCTCCTTAGTGCCACACACAACCACACAACCACACAACCACACAGGGCTCTTCTTAGTGCCACACACAACCACACAACAACACACACAACCACACAACCGCACAAGGCTCCTGTTAGTGCCACACACAAACACACAACCACACAGGGCTCCAGTTAATGCCACACACACAACCACACAACCACACAACCACACAAGGCTCTTCTTAGTGCCACACACAACCACACAACCACACAAGGCTCCTGTTAGTGCCACACACAACTACACAAACACACAAGGGAGTCCTCCACGGTGCTAAAGGGAAATGAGGCGTGTGCACTTCAGTAAACCTCTCATAGTAACAGTAATATCCTTCAATAAACTGTAGTAGTATTGGACTGTATCTCTGTAGAACTGAAGTGGCTCTGTGGCCTTTGCGTAGAAGCGCCAGATGACGATGAGAGTAAACAGGAAGCGGTAATCTCACGAACAGAGAAGTGAACCACAGTTTAGTTCAGCTTGTACTCTGGACTGCAGCTTCCTTTTTTTTTTTTTTTTTTTTTTTTTTTTCATTTGGAGGCCTCGAGGTTCTTATCAGGACTCTGGATCCCCCTAGTGGTCAAAAATTGAACAACAACGAGACACAACAGCTTTTCAACACACTGTGACTGTTTTAGACACAATTCCATCGAGTTAAATACGACTAAAACAGCTGTAAACATGGTCAAAAACGTTCTGCGTTCAGAAAATCTCAATCGTACATTAGTAGTGTGTGTTTTCTGTGGCCCGGGTGGACATGACTCGCATACGAAGTGGTTCCTCCTGTTGTGATCTCTTCTCTCTGTTCTCATTAGGCTCCACAGCTCATGAATAACCAAGCCCCGGTGCATCATTTATGAAGCATATGCATTTATTAGCACGCGTATGGAGTAGTGCACGTTTAGGGACACAAAGCGCACAGTTTGTACTAGGGATGGGCATTCGATGAAATTTTATTAATTGATCGTCGGGAGAATTAACAATCGATTTACGTATCATCATTATTATTACTATTACTAACAATCTGCATAAATAAACTTAACTTTACTACATATAAACCATAACATGCACGCAGTGTTTTCAGAGATCGTACGTGTGGTTTAGGTTTAGCGCAGCTCTTTATGTTGCAGTAACCGGTAGAGATGCGTGGATGGGCTATTTTTTCATCCGCAACCGCGACACAAAACTCATCATCTGCCCGCTGTCCATTTTGCACCGAAGGTTTTCAAAACCGCACCCGCCCGCCATCCGCCGATTGATTTTAGGTTTTAGAACAATCATACAGCAAACAAACTAAGGAGCCTCGATAAAAATGCAAACTATAGCTCATTCATTCCAAAATTCGCTCAGCTTGTATGTTCGCATTCTTAATTGTCCGTAACAACCCCAAACTTACCTGGTTGTCTTGTGCAGCTAATTAATTGACAACGTTTTTCAACTAGGCTATTTTTGAACCTTCTTGCCTTCATGTTGGATGTTGTTACATTCTGAACATTCTGCCATTGCCCGATGTTATTTCAAAGTCATAGCCTCACTCCATCGGTCTTTCTTTAAGTTTTAAATACCCCGAGTGGCAGTCTACGCTATAATGTCTGCGTGTTTTAAAATATAACTGATATCGAAACAAAATAGACAGATCATCTCATCCAGATGAACCTTTATTGAAATCAGGCAATGCCCTCTTTATATTCCAATTGAAATAGACAAGAAAAAATATGCATAACTAAATAAATATGGTCCTATAGCCACTTATGTGTTGGCAAACAGCTGAAATAAATTAGAAATAATAAAATAAACTGCATATAATATGTTCCTCGTAAACCTTAGGCATCAATAACCCGACACAACCTTAACCTTCAGAACATAAAAACGAGGTCAAATGGGCTAATTAAGGACATGACGTACACTTCATACTACAAGCATAAACAATGAGACTCATCTTTTCAGACGTAGGTAACAATACTAACAATAACTTTTTTTTTCTTTTTAGTAGTTAAACCGCCACCCGGCCAAATTTAATTAAAATATAATTTTTCGTCACGTCATCCGCCCGACCTGCGGATTAACCGCGGATACCGCGGTTGTAACCGCAATCCGCGCATCTCTAGTAACCGGGACACTGCGAAAACATGCACCACGATGAAACCGGGATAGAGATGAGCAAGTACAGTGTCTCCGAGGAGGTGCCAGAGCCCAAATGTGGGACTGAGGCCGAAACTCCAGTGTTTGAGAAGAAACATACAGAAACCTACATTTGGTTTGTCGATTAGAAATGAACATAATCGGCGAAATTTTTAAGAATCACTTATCGACTAATCATGCCCATCCCTAATTTGTGCAGCTGTTTCACTCTGTTTTTAGCTCCTGGTTTTGTAAGGACAGTGTCATTAGATTAGTAATTAAAGATGAAGATTCAGTCGGTTGCATATCATTTCTTAAAGACATGTCTGTTGTTCTCGTTTTAAAAAAACCTGAAGCCTGAAGAAGTTTTCGATATCGTCCATGCTTGTTTTTCGTAAATATCAGATCTTACGTCAGTTTCACAAGTGTCAGTTTGTGGGGAGAAAGTATCAAAAAAACTGAAATACAGGATGTAGTGGTTAGATCTAAAACAAAATACCTATACCTATGTCATTGACGTGGAAATTTTCATCCAAAATGCGCAGACAACACACGCAATTTACGCAACACATTTCTGAGGTAGTTTCGATGTTGATTTAAAGCTGCATTGCACAACTTTTCCGGTGCAGGGTCCGTCGCCTGCTCGTCTTAATGGAGATGTTATTGCTTTGTTTAGAGCAGTTGTGGGCAATTATTTTTTCAAAGTGACCACATGAGAAACAGAAAATTAAAAAAAGAGGGCCAGGCCAAAATGTTTAACTCAATTCTGCATAATATTAATTGTGTTTCTTTATAAAAAGACATAAATATCATTCGTTTTGACGAGCTGGTAAGAGTTTGTCACGACTAAGCAATGAAAAAGTGAGGTTGCCTTACGAAAAATGCTTAAAAGAAACAACTCTAAAATAAAAGCAATGCAGCTTTAGTCCATGCATGAGGTAAAATTATAAAATATGTTAAAAATTATCTTAAAAGGGCCGGTCAGAGTCAAACAAAGAGCTGTATGTGGTCCTGGAGCTGGTCTAGAATGTTCCACGGTAAAGATTAAACGTATCTATCTCGAAGGAGATGACTACAGTGTATGTTACAGGTCAGATCTGTGGAGAGGCGACCCTGTTCTCAGAAGGAATTATTGTATTTTTGAGCAACAGAAACACCCGTAATGAATAAATGCTAGATGGAAATGTTTAAAGTTATGCCATGGAACACCAGAAAAGTTGCGCAATGCAGCTTTAAATTAATACTGAAACTGTCAAAGAAATGTGTTGCGTAAATTGCGTGACTAGTCTGTGCATTTTGGATGGAAATTTCCACGTCGATGAGACAGGTCGAGGTATTCTGTTTTCTATTTAACCACTAATATAGCACTTTAAACAAAAAAAAGACATGATCTTTTTTTTTTTATTTGTCGATTGTGAAATGGTTTGCTGTAGTGAACGTTGAAATTACTTCTACACATGTCACATCTGCTGCCCATGTCCAAGATTTTTTGTTGTACATTCTGAAATTTAAAGTACCTTAACTATATTTGAGTGAAATAGCTTTTCTTTTTTTTTTTTTTACAACTGCCAGAAGTGACGCGCTGTAGGTTTGCAGAACGTCCGGTTAACGGTTTTCTTTGACAAAATATCTGTGTAAATGTGTGTCGTATTCTCCATCAGCTTCATAAATCTGTCCCATCACCAAATCTTCAGCCAACAAGGTCCACAAAGGTTAAACATTCTAACATGAATAATTTATCCACAACTATCAATGTAAAAAAAGACGAAAACTTAAAGGAGAACAACGACGATGCATTAGTGAACTACTGAACAAAACTAACGTCATGGTATGGTAGAGATAATAATAATAATAAATCTTTATTTATGAAGCACTATTAAAAACAAGATTTACAAATTTCTGTACAAGTTGCAAAGAACAATAAAAAATAGCATAAAAATGGCAAACAAAAAGACAACAAAGCAAACAATCCAATAAATTATAATGAATAAATAAAAAGAAATAGAATAAAGAATAAAATCAAGCTAAATCCAGTTAAAGCAGGATTGTCCAAACTTTTTTCATCAAGGGCCATATATCTAAACACAGACGAAGCAGAGGGCTGATCGAGGGCCGTAGACTGGAGCTCAGTACAGTGAAGAATTGAAATATGTGCATGTTTAACATGTTAGAATGAACCATCAGTCTTTATTCATGCTCACACTAAATATTAAATATTTGCTTTATCAAGGTAGATTTTCAAAAAGCTTGCAGTAAAAAGCTCATTTTTAAATTATGCAAGGTAATTTTGGCCAATTCAACTGAAAGCCTGAGAGCCAAGAAAAATTTGTCTGAGGGCCGCATTTGGCCCATGGGCCATAGTTTGGACATGCCTGAGTTAAAGGAAGGCCAGCCGAGAAAAATGGGTTTAAGAAGTGATTTGAAAGATGATACTAATGGTGCGAGATGTTTCGCATTCAAACTGCACAAATCTGTCCATCTATGTTAATATCGACACCATGAACTCGATTTTTTTTGTAGAATCATTCTGAATTAACTACTTACGATTTACTCATGATCATAACATTAGTTTTGTTCAGTAGTTCACTAATGTGTCATCGTTTTAGCCTTTAAGTTTTCATCTTTCTTCCCTTGATAGTTATGGATAAATTGTTCATAGTTAGGGTTTGGTTAGGTCGCTTTATTCGTACCCGTAGGTAAATTTGCTTTGCAGATTTGAGAGGCAGGTTCCACATTTCACATTTCATTCATAAAGCTGGTGGAGAATACGACACACATGTACACACACATTTTACCACAGAAAACCATTAACCGGATGTTCCGCAAACCTACAGCGGGACACTCGTGAAAAAAAATCTCTTTGTCGTCTTTTGTTCACCGTCATTAAACACGTCTCCTCTTTTCTGTTCCAGGCTCTGTCGCGGGTCACGCCCAGCGGCCTCCAGTCAGCGGCCCCTCGGTGAAGCCCCCCCCTACCCCTGCCCCGGCTCCACCCGCGCACCACGATGGCCTCGACAAGCTCCGCCCACAGCACACCCCCGACAAACACGCACACACACTCCCGCTCCCACCTGACCCCGCCCCCTCGAGTGTGTGCGCGCCCGAACCACCACCAAAACCACCACCACCAGCCAGGACTGTGGACTCTCTCTGTCACTCCTCCCTGCGTGCGACGCCAGGGAGACCTCTTTTTGTCCATTTTAGTTTAGCTTTTACTTTCTTTTTTTCCCTTCCTTTCGCTCTAGTTTTTACACTCGACGCGGTGGAGATGTTTTAGCAAAAATAGTCGCGTGGGGACTTTGTACGGAAAGACACAGATCCAACATGGCAGCGTTGAATAGTGCCTAAACTGCGTGTCCTACCCAAGATTCACCACAAGCCCCTTTTCTTTTTTCTTTTTTTTCCTTCATTTCCTTTCGTTTTCTCTTTTTTTTCGTCGTTGTTTTAAAGCGGGACACGTTCTGCGGAGTCGTTTTAACGCAGGGCTGTGGCGACGAGCGGCTGCGAAGTGCCCATTTTAAACCGGTGCATATTTAGTGACACGTCTGTATGTATGTATGTATGTATGTATGTGCGTGTGTGATTGTACGTACGTGCGCGTATGTGCGTTTGTTGCGTTTGTCCCCGGGGTTGTTCACACTCCGACCTGCGGGGGGGGCAAACGCGTTGAGGACTTTTTAAACATTTTTGATTCGTTCCGTTTCGGATCGACCGCCTCCCGGGCCACACTTAAGTTCGTCGTTCGGGGTGGATCATGACGGGATGGTTCAGTACTCGGTAATTACGCGATCGGTAATTACTTCGTTAGGTAGGTATCGGGCGTCCGTTTTGTAGATTATTACCTGTATTGGACACTTACTGGACATTTATGACTTGAAATGTAAAGGGCAAATATTAAACTGTTTTCTGATCTGTGTTATAGTTGCCACATTTACATGAGAGCTTTAATTCCGAATAAAAAGTGATTTAATTCCGAATAAAAATTTTAAAAGATCATGTAAACACTTCTTAATGAAAGTGATTCGGAATTCAACGTAATTCCGAAGTAAGCGTGTGGTTTTTAATGCCGGGTTAATTTATTCCTCGATCATGTAAACGTTTATTCTTCTTAAAAATAATTCCGATCCGGCTTCGGACTTTCATCCACGTCTCTTTGGATTTGCGAGCAGGATGCGGGAGCGGGCTGAGGTAGAGCAGCCGTCGACTCGGTTTGTCTTCGTTCCTCGCTTCTCCGACGATCTTCCCTTCCCGACGTAAAGCGTGACGAGGGAATTCTCCTGCTGCTGCGCAATTATCATCGGAATGACGCCGAAAAAAGTTCGGACCGTGTTTGTGTCAAACAAACCGAGATGACGGTAGCAGCTGAAGTGCGTGTTTTCTTCCGGTCGACGTAAATACGCTCGTGTCCCTGTCCGATCAGAACCGTTGAGCGGAATTCAAAAAAGACAATTTAAACCTCAATTCGGAATTATTACCGGAGAATATTTTAAATCAGAACTATTAATTCGGAATAAAAAAAAACATCATGTAAACGTGGCCGATGTTTCCTCAACACAAACACACCTGGAGTTGCGTTTTGTTTCGTTCACACAAATTTAAAACACCAAAAACTTACACGTATTTAGGCTGAGTTTGCTCTAGTGGGTTTTTAAAGTTCGTACAACTTCATTAAAATCATTCGGTAATTTCTAAACTCTACTGAACTAAACGTGGACCAGAGCTTTTTGAGCTTTGGAGATGTCGATGGAACGATCGCTCAAATGAAATTGAGTTGGTTTTTCGTGGAGGTAACAGCATTATAACGTGGCTTTAAAGCTCACAAGACCTTCAAGAAACTATATATATATATATATATATTTTTTAGTACCCCAACAGCCAGTGGGAGTACGCACGCTTATGGTTTGTCCAACTGAAAACCCACGTTCGCGAAATACTGAACTATCCCTGACGCCGTTTCTACCTAGACCTCGTTGGACCGAAGACCAAACTCTTAACTTTCTTCGACATTTCATGCATTTTTTTTATTATTAACTTATTACTTGCCACTATTAAAACACGAGGATAAACCAGGTATTTCAGAAAGACAAATTTTTTTTTTTTTTTGCCAATCGCCTATTCAGAACTCTTGAAACGTACGGTAGGATTTCAACAAATTGTTAATTATTTTCAAAACAAGCTGTGACTGACCGTACGTTCGAACAGAGCCGATTGGTGCGACATATACTTTTTAAATTTTTTTTTCGTTTAGTCCAGAGGTTTACGGTAGAAAACGGCCTTATTTTTTAGCTTGCATGTAGCCGAGGAGGTGCGGCGGGATTGGCGCGGACTGGGCGTGGTCTTAAAAAAGGTCGGCGCCGGGTAGTAGGCTCCGGAGGGACGCGAGCGAGGACGTCCCCGTGGTAACGCTTAAACTAAATCCGAACTCTACGAACAGGCTTTAAAACTGTTAAATATTTCGTCATATATTTCTTCTTTTCTGGACTCTACCCATGGAGATGTTTCTGCGATTGTGTAGCCTTGAATGTTCCGCAATGTGGCATTAAGCTCAAGCATCGCCACGGAGACTAGCGAATAATGCCGCCACGCGAAGTTACTGGGAGAGACGTATCTAGTTACACAAAGAATGTATGTTTTTCAGCATTAAAAACGTGCGCGCAAAACAGATACGTTTTAATGCCTTACTATGGAAAATTCCAGCGAGCAATATCTCCATGGAGACGAGCAGAGAGCGTGAAAAAAAGTTACAAAATGCTCTTTAACCTTTAAAATCTGTGTGTTGTTCGTTCATTTGTTTTTCAAAATAAAACCCAAAATAAGAAAATGAAAAAAACAACTGTTTTCTTCATTATTTGTCTCCAAAACCAAAATGAAAAAACAGATAATGATTCATTTTTTCAGTTTTCGATTTTTTGGTTTAAATGAAAAATGGAAAAAAGGATAACTGACGTTTCCGTGACTTAAACTGCGATGTCGAACTGAACCAGGTCTAAACCAGGTCAGGACAGAACCAGGACTAAGACAGGTCGGGATTAAGACAGGACTGAACCAGGACTGAACCAGGTCTAAACCAGGTCTAAACCAGGTCGGGACTAAGACGGGACTGAACCAGGACTAAACCAGGTCTGAACCAGGTTTAAACCAGGTCGGGACTAAGACGGGAGCAAACCGGGACTAAACCAGGTCGGGACTAAGACAGGACTGAACCAGGACTATACCAGGTCAAGACTAAACCAGGACTAAACCAGGACTGAACCAGGTCTGAACCAAGACGGGACTGAACCAGGACTAAGACAGAGCTAAGACGGGACTGAACCAGGACTAAACTGGTCTCAGTCCTGACCTGGTTTAGTCCTGAGTCCTGGTCCTGGTCCCGGCCTGGACCAGGTCTCAGTCCTGATCACCCGACAGTCTACGCAGACGCACCTTTGGGCTCGTCCCGACACTCCTGGTTCAGTCCGGTATTTTTTTTAATTTTTTTTTCATTTAAACACAAAATCGAACTCTTTATCCGTTTTTTCATTTTGGTTTTAGAGACAAATAATGAGGAAAATAGCTTTATAATTTTCTTATTTTTGGTTTTATTTCAAAAAAACAAATGAACGAACGACACACGGACTCTTTAACCTCGTTCTTCCCTTTCATTTAAACCTTGATCTGCTAAACTTCATCACTTCCTTCGACAAATTCGCCCGTCCCTCCGAAGCGTCCCGCCTCCGCCCGACCTCAAAACAAACCCAACGCCACGTCCGATAACGGTACTCAAAAAAAAACAAAAAACAACTCAGGACCCCGACCAGTCAAAACCCCCCGAAACCGATGAGTCCGAACACACGTTTTTAAGCAGTAGAAAAAAAGTGGTAGACATTTTGTGTAGTCGATTAAAGGTATACTACGGGGCTTTAGCGGTATCTTGTATTGTCTAATGTTGTGAATAGGATTGTACCTGCCCTTGTTTTTGTTTTTTTCCGTAGACAAGGAGCAAGGATCGACCGGGGAACGCCTCACTCCAGTAGATTGAACTCCCCTCGGGTCTAACTCACACTTTCGGGGCTCGGAAAAATACGTCATGACTTATAACTGTCTCACTGATGGTAATTAATACAAGTACGTTTTCTGTTTTTGTTTTTTTTTTTCTTTTCGTTGTCGATTTTTATTTTGGGGGGAGCGTATTTCTGTCTGTTTTTTTTTTTTTTTTTTTTTTTTCTTTGACTGTGAAGGCGGTCGAGATGATTGTTCAAACGACGCATCTCCCTGTGTGAACTCCCACCCCCCCTCTCCCCTCACACCTAAAGACTTTTGCTCCTCATTTGTAATGCCACTGTATTTGTGTATTTTAAAATTGTGTAAATAAATTAATAAGTACTTGTATGTCGTCTGTTTTTGACTCAGAAGGTGGGATCTGGAGGTTTCGGAGTGTTTGTGTCTTAGTTTTATTTTACTGAATCTATAAAGGTCGAGGTCAAAAGATAAACTCAAATTAGAGTACTTTTACTTAAAAAAAATAATATTCAAGTAGACATAACAATGTAAGGTTATTTGTTTGAATAAATAAAGCTCCAGTCTGGTGTTTTCAGTTGACAGACCCAAAAAAGAAACAAAATCATGTCTGAACACAAATAATTTTAAAGCTTTTGTCACGACACTGTACAATGTTCCTCAAGTAAGAGCAGGTTTATGTTGTAATGTTTTATTTTTGTTTCTGAAAACAGAACAAAAATACAACATTAAAAAATCTGGATTTGTTTCAATACATTCTGTGAAAATCTGAATTGAGGAATTGACAAAATTATTGATCTGTGAAATGTCATTTTTTAGGACACCCTTTATTTTATTCTGTTATAAACATGACTAGGAAATCACCCCAATAAATAACTAAAAGTAAGAAATATTACAGGCTGTTTCTAAAGTAAAAGTAAGGTCTGAAAACTGCTAAGAACATGGTGTTCTGGCTCAACCTGAAAACAGAACAAAAATTTTAAAATTAGATATAAAATCTTGTTTCTATACATTTCTAAAATTTGAGGTTATTTCAAAAAGAATTGCCAGTAAATCTCCAATCTGGTGTTTTCAGATGACAGGCCCAAAAAAGAGAAACTAAATCATGTCTAAAGGAGCTCTCTAAGAAACATAAATACTCAAATTATTTTATATTGTCACATAAAACTTTTGTCACTTTAGACTCACAGTGGGAAGAAGAACCACACTGTACAATGTTTCTCAGGTAAGACTGGGTTTACTGTTATGTTTTATTTTTATTTCTGAAAACAGAACAAAAATAAAACACTAAATATAAACTCTTGATCTGTTTCTATACATTCTGTGAAAAATTTAGGGTATTTCAACAAGAATTGACAAAATTATTATGTCAATTTTTTGGGGACACGTATTTTATTTTAATTTATTTATTTTATTATTTATTTTAGGGTGTCTCATAAAATTTGACGTAATTTTAAAAGCAATTGTCTTGAAAACACTTCAGTCTAGCTCAATGACGATGTCGATGTTGGTTGACCAGATCCTTTAGTTCTACATAAACAGTCTTTCTCTCCAAATTTTTGGTATAAAGTCTAAATTTGTTTACCAGTTGATGAAGTTTTTCCAAATTTTACATTGAAGCTGCACAGTCTTGGTGTGTGTGTGTGCAGCAGATTCCAAGACACAAAATGACTTCTGTTTGGGAGTGAACGGCTCAACCTGAAAACAGAACAAAAATAAAACATTAAATATAAAATCTCAATCTGTTGCTCTACATTCTGTGCAAATTTGAGGTGAAGAGTACAACATATTGTGTTTTGAAAGATACAGAGCTCTGGAATGAATGAATTATGCGTAAAATTTTATTTGTTTTATTGTATATTTAAGAGACAAAATATAAATTAAGTCACAAGTGAAATTGTAAATGCAAACTTGCTTTTCTTTCTTGGAATTCTGTCATTGTTTAATCGGGTTTGGCGTTATAAGTTTTTACTTTTTTACTTCAGCCTAAACACTTTCGGTCATGATCCATGGAGTTGTAGTCTATGTATTGTTTTGTTTTATTTTGTTTTATAGGGCTGCAAAACGACAGAATAAAACAACTACAAACAAAATTAAATAAAATTATTGGCCTGTGAAATGATGTCAAATTTTTTGGGACACCCTGTTTTTTATTTAAAGTTATAAACGTGACTAGGAAATAAATAAATTAAATAAAAAATAAATAATAATAATAATAAAATAATAATAAAATAATAATAAAAAATAATATATATATAATAATAATAATAATAATGATAATAAATAAATAAATAAATAAAACATCAGAATTATTATTGTACTAAATATTCACAAACTTTGAATCTTAAATAAACTGTATGTGATATTTTCATGTTTAAATTCCATAAACTGTGTCAAAAACGAGGCAAAAATGTTCAGTAAAATCAAATATTGCTTTGAGTTTGAGGCTCCGGAGACACACACGTTCTGCTGTGATTGTAAAACCTTCTTAAAACAGGTCACATACACTTTCTGTTTACTCCACTAATCCCCCATAATCCATTTAGGCTCATTTCCTCCTGCAGTACCAGACTCTGTCCACGGGAGGGCGCTGGCGGAACAGGAGCGGCCTCTGTGTTTGGTTCAGGGACAGTTACATAAAAGGTCAAACTCTTTTCTCTTTGTGTTTGTGAAGGAGGAAAGAGGCGGATCTGCTGCTGCTGCTGTGAGCTCAGAGTCACAACATCAACATCAGGTTTCAAGAACACACACGTACAGTTTATTTTTATATTTTGCAGGTTTTGGTCGAGACGTTTTAGAACAGATCATTTCAGGTGGAGGCAGGAGGCTGTGTAACTCTCTTTATATAAAACTCTGTGGGAGATTCACAGATTTTACAAATAAATCTTCAAACTTATGATCCACAAATGTCAAAGTTTCACATTTGAGACGAGACGAGATCCATGAACGACCCGAAAAACAAAATGTTTAACCTGTTATAAAATAAAACTAAATAAGACAAGACACAGTTTTAATCTAATGTCGGAAGAAAAGTAATTAGAACATTTACTCGAGTAAGAGTAGGCCTGCTGTTACACTCTACAATTTACATTTTTACTTGAGTAAGAGTACAGTTACTGTACTTTATAATAACTGAGTAAGAGTACTGTTACACTGTACAATTAATTACTCAAGTAAGAGTACTATTACAATGTATTCTATAATACTCGAGTAAGAATACTGTTACACTCTACTCGAGTAAGAGTACTGTTACACTGTACATATACATTTTTACTTGAATAGGAGTAATTTTACATTGTGTTGTAAATTACTCAAGTAAGAGTACTGTTACTGTACTGTATTACCTGAGTAATAGTACTGTTATACAGTAAGAGTACAGTTACACTGTACAATATAATACTCAAGTAAGAGTACTGTTACACTGTACATATACATTTTTACTTGAGTAGGAGTACTTTTATTTTGTATTATATATTACTCGAGTAAGAGTACTGCTACCCTGTACAATTCTGTACAATAAATTACTCAAGTAAGAGTACTTGAGTAAGAGTACTGTTACTGAGGGAACAGTAGTAGTAGTTGTAGTAGTAGTTGTAGTAATAGTAGTAGTAGTTGTAGTAGTAGCAGTATTAGTAGTAGTAGTAGCAGTAGTAGCAGTAGTAGTAGTAGTAGTTGTAGTAGTAGTAGTAGTAGTAGTAGTAGTAGTAGTAGTAGTAGTAGTAGTAGTAGTAGTAGTAGTAGTAGTAGTAGTAGTAGTAGTAGTAGTAGTAGTAGTAGTAGTAGTAGTAGTAGTAGTAGTAGTAGTAGTAGTAGTAGTAGTAGTAGTAGTAGTAGTAGTAGTAGTTGTAGTAGTAGTAGTAGTAGTAGTAGTAGTAGTAGTAGTAGTAGTAGTATATGTAGTTGTAAGAAGATCCTGTATGATTCCATGGAAACAGAAAATCTAAACACACATACACATTTTAACAGAAGGATCAATGTTTCCATGGCAACAAACAGGACGAGGACGCAGCTGAGTGCAATACAAAAACATCCTTTTATTTGAATCTTTCTCTCTTTTAGGTAAAACGTTGTGGCTTTAAACAAACGCGTTCCAATCCTCGAGTGAACGTCTTATCACGTCGGCCCGGGGGACAACAGAAGGAGACCAGATAAGACGCATCTGTCTCTCGTCCGTCTCTACAAAAGGACACCTGTCTCGCAGACTCTAGGGACTGTTTGCCGTCAGCCCCACCTACCCCCACCTACCCCCACCTATCCCCGCCCACTCACACGCGACCTCCTGACCCGGGGTCGAGCAGCTGTCTCTCCGCGCTCTGTCATGTAAACGCGGTTCTTTTATCAGGCTTCGCCTCACCACACGGGGACTATTTTCAGAGGGAGAAAGCCACAACAGCAGAAGTAGAAGCAGGAGAAGTAAAAGCAGCCGTGGCCTTTTCACTCTCGTCTTCCGGAGCGTTTCCGTAACAGGAAGTGTCACCACAACAAACGTGATGTTAGATGTTACTACACCGGGAATATTTCAATACACACATCAACTACTACAACTACACCTACAACTGCAACTGCTATTACAGTATTTCACTACAACAGGCCTGTAGTAGTAGTAGTAGTAGTAGTAGTAGTAGTAGTAGTAGTAGTAGTAGTAGTAGTAGTAATAAAAGGAGTAGTAGTAGTAGTAGTAGTAGTAGTAGAATAGACTTGTAGTAGTAGTAGTAATAGCAGTAGTAGTAGTAAATGGAGGAGGAGGAGAAGTAGTAGTAGCAGTAGTAGTAGTAGTAGTGGTGGTAGTAGTAGTAGTAATAGTAGTAGTAGTAGTAGTAGTAGTAGTAGTAGTAGTAGTAGTAGTAGTAGTAAACGGAGGAGGAGAAGTAGTAGCAGTAGTAGTAGTAGTGGTAGTAGTAGTAGTAAAAGGAGTATAGTAGTAGTGGTAGTAGTAGTAGTAGTAGTAGTAAGTAGTTGTAGTTGTAGTAGTAGTAGTAGTAGTAGCAGCAGCAGTAATAGTAGTAGATATAGTAGTAGCAGCAGTAGTAGTAGTAGTAGTAGTAGTAGCAGTAGTAGTAGTAGTAGTAGTAGTAGTAGTAGTAGTAGTAGTAGTAGTAGTAGTAGTAGTAGTAGTAGTAGTAGTAGTAGCAGTAGTAGTAGTAGTAGTAGTTGTTGTTGTTGTAGTAGTAAAGCAGCAACAGTAGTAGAAGTAGTAGTAAAAGGAGTAGTAGTAGTAGTAGTAAAAGGAGTAGTAGTAGTGGTAGTAGTAAAGGTAGTAGTAGTAGTAGTAGCAGTAGCAATAGTAGTACTAGTACAAGGCTGGCATTACTATTATTAAAAAGAAATTGTAGTAATTGTCGTAGTTCATAGTATTTTATATTTGAAGTAGT